CTCCTCCTACTACTGTAGATTCTGAACTTGTTTCAGTCACCTCACTCAAGTGAGCCCAAATATCAGGAGACATAAGGCCTTCCCACCATGACATTCCACAGCTGAGTGTTCTCTTCCCCATCTTTCATGAATCCATCCACTTGGTACTTTTGTCTCATCCTTGCTGTGTGTGGCCAATCTCATTTGTTCTGAATTCAAGGATCACACATCAAACACCCACTTTTCTCTAAGGAGACAATTATCTGACGTTTTTCTTCAACTTGGCTGTCTTTTTGGTTTTTTCCATTTATCACTTTTGTTGTTTGTTGTTGTTGTTGTTGTTTACCAAGAAGAGAATTTCTTCTTATATACTTCAGGTGGGTCTTAATCTCTGATCAGTCCTCAGAACCCCTCCCTGTGGCACCTTCCACAGTATTGATGCTAGAATGTATTTATGGTTGTTGTTGTTGTTGTTGTTAGGTGCTGTCGAGTCAACTCTGACTCACAGTGACCCTGTGTACAACAGAACAAAACACTGACCAGATCTGTACCAGCCTCACAATCATTGCTATACCTGAGCCCATTGTTACAGTGACTGTATTTTAGGTAGTGTAAAATAAATAAAAATAATAAAGAACAATCAGATGGTTGAATATTTGTCATTTGAGCCAGTGAAAGAACACAAAGGTACAAATTAAAAACAAAGCTTATTGTCAAAGTCATTACAAAGTCATAACAAAGTTGTTGTTGTTTTTGTTAGGTGTCATCAGGTCATCTCCAACTCATTGTGACCTTATGTACAACAGAACGAAACACTACCCAGTCCTGTGCCAGCCTCACAATCCTGTACCTAAGTCCATCATTGCAGCCACTGTGTCAATCCATCTTGTTGAGGGCCTTCACCTTTTTCATTGGCTCTCCACTTTACCAAGCATGATATCCTTCTCCGGAGAATGGTCCCTACTGACAACATGACCAAAGTAGGTGAGACAAAGCCTGGTCATTCTCACTTCCAAGCAGTATTCTGGCTGCACTTCTTCCAGGACAGATTTGTTAGTCCTTTGAGCAGTCTGTGGTTCTCTTAGCATTCTTCTCCAATACCAACTGGATCAAAACATCAATTCTTCTTTGGTCTTCTTTATTCATTGTCCAGCTCCCACAAGCATAAGAGGTGATTGAAAATACTGTGGCTTGGGTTAGGCACATCTTAGTCTTCAAGGAGACATCTTTGCTCCTCATCATTTGAAAGAGGTCTTTTGCAGCAGATTTACCCAACATAACACATCGTCTGATGTCTTAACTGCTGCTTCCATTGGTGTTGATTGTAGAACCAAGTAATATGAAGTCTTTGACAGCTTCAATATTTTCTCCATTTATCATGATGCTGCTTAATGGTCCAGTTGTGAGGACTTTTGTTTTCTTTATATTGAGATGTAATCCATGCTGCAGACTGTAGTCTTCAATCTTCATCAGTAAGTGCTTCAAGTCATCCTCACTTTCAGCAAGCAAAATTGTGTTGTCTGCATATCTCAGGTTGTTAATGACTCTTCCTCCAATCTTGATGCCACATTCTTCTTCATAGTCCAGCTTCTCAGATTATTTTTTCAGCATACAGATTGAATAAGTATGGTGAAAGCGTACAACCCAGGCGCACTCCCTTCCTGATTTTAAACCATGCAATATCCCTTTGTTCTGTTTGAATGGCAGCCTCCTGGTCTATGTACAGGTTCTTCATGAATACAATTAAATGTTCTGGAATTCCCATTCTTCTCAATGTTACCCATAATTTGTTATGATGCACACAATCAAATGCTTTTGCATAGTCAATAAAACATAAGTAAACATCTTTCTGGTGTTCTCTGCTTTCAGCCAAGATCCATCTGATATTAGCAGTGATATCCCTCATTCTGTGTCCCCTTCTGATTCCAGCTTGCATTTCTGTAAGTTCTCTGTCAACATACTGCTGCAACCATTTTTGAATTATCTTCAGCAAGATTTTACTTGCATGTGATATCAATGATATAGTTCAATAATTTCCACATTCTGCGAGATCACCTTTCTTTGGAATAGTTACAAATATGAATCTCTTCCAATCTGTTGGTCAGGTAGCTGCCTTCCAAATCTCTTGGCATAGCTGAGTCAGGGCCTCCATCAGGGCATCCCGAATACCCAGGGCATACTCAATGGGTATTTGGTCAATTCCTGGGGCTTCATTTTTCACCAATTCCTTCAGTGCAGCTTTAACTTCTTCTTTCAATGCCATTGGTTCTTCATCATATGCCACCTCCTGAAATGGATGAACATTGACCAATTCTTTTTGCTACAGTGACTCTGTGTATTACTTCCATCTTCATTTGATGTTTTCTGAATTATTCAATATATTGCTCATAGAATCCTTCAATATTGCAACCTGAGGCTTAATTTTTTCCCTCAGTTTTTTTGGCTTGAGAAATGCCAAGCATGTTCTTCTCTTTTGGTTTTCTAACTCCAGGTCTTTGCACATTTTGTTACGATAATTCACTTTGTCTTCTTGGGCTGCTGTTTGAGATCTTCTGTTCAGCTCTTTTATTTTGTCATTTCTTCCATTTGCTTTAGCTACTGTCCATTCAAGGGCAAGTTTCAGAGTCCCTTCTGACATCCATTTCGGTCTTTTGTTCATTTTCTGTCTTTTTAATGACCCTTTGCTTTCTTCATGGATGATGTTCTTAATGTCATCCCACTATTCCTCTGGTTTTCAGTCATTGGTGTTCAGTGCATCAAATCTATTCTTTAGATTGTCTCTAAATTCAGGAAGTATATAATCAAGGTCATATTTGGCTCTCATTGACTTGTTTTAATTGTCTTTATCCTCAAATTGAACTTGTGTATGAGCAATTGATGGTCTTTTCCACAATCAACTCCTGGCCTTGTTCTGGCTGAAGATACTGAGTATCTCCATCACCTCTTGCCACAGGTATAGTCTATCTGATGCCTGTGTACTCCATCTGGTGAAGTCCACATGTATAACCACCATTTGTGTGATTAAGAAATGGTTTTTGCATTGAATAAGTCATTGGTCTTGCAAAATTCTATAATGTGACCTCCAGCATTATTTCTATCACCAAGGCTATATTTTCCAACCATCAGTGTTTCTTCTCTGTTTTCAATGTTTATATTCCAGTCACCAGTGATAATAAACACATCTTGACTGCATGTTTGGTCAATTTCAGACTGCAGAAGTTGGCAAAAATCTTCAATTTCCTCATCTTTGCCTTTGGTGACTGGTGGTAAATTTGAATAATAATACATTAACTGGTCTTCTTTGTAGGTGTTCGGATATTCTCCTATCACTAACAGCATTTTACTTCAGGATAGATCTTGATACATTCTTTGTGATGATGAATCCCATGCCATTCCTCTTCAATTTGTCATTCCCACCATAGTATATCACATGATTGTCTGATTCAAAACAGCCAAAAGCAGTCCATTTCAATTCACCAATGCCTAAGATATTGATCATTATGGTTCCATTTCATTTTGACAACTTCCAATTTTCCTAGATTCATGCTTTGTACATTCTATATTCTAATTATTAGTGGATGTTTGTAGCTGCCTCTTCTCATCTTGAGACATACCACATCAGCAAATGGAGGTTTCAAAGCTTTACTCTATCCACATCATTAAGGTCAGCTCTATTGTGAAGAGGCAGCTTTTCCCCAGTCGCATTTTGAGTGCCTTCTGACCTGATGGGCTCATCTTCATGCACTATATTGGACAGTGTTTCCAGACTATTCATAAAATTTTCCAATAATATATCAGACAGTGTTTCACCACTATTCATAAGGTTTTCTTTGAGAAGTAGATGGCCTCTTCCTTCTTCCAAGTCTGTCTTAGTTTGGAAGCTCCACTGAAACCTGTCTACCATGGGTAACCCTGCTAGGATTTGACACACCAGTGGCATAGCCTCAAGCCTAACAGCAATGTGCAAGCCACCACAATACAACAAACTGATAGACAAATTCATCTCCCTTAACTGTTCCAAACCTATCTGCTCACTTCCTGGCCTCTCCCTTCAGTTACTTAAAACCCACTGCACTGGCTTGCTTCCTGGCCTCTCCCTTAGCCACTCCAAACCTGCTGCCATAACAATGTCATTGTCCTATAATTTCTATTTCATTTTAGAAGGAGGTCAGAGACTCATGCTTAGCCTCCAGTTTTCTAGTTTGTCTTATACACTCTCTGAGTTTGACTCTAAGTTTATGAGGCTGGACTTTGAAAGAAATGAGTCTCCAATATGCCTGAAAATATTACATCTTGATCATTCTTTCACAGATTTTTCATTTAATTACATTTTGTATATGTTCTTCACATAAGAGATAGCAACCTCTTTTATCCCAGTTTCCTTATTTACAAAGTATACTAATGATACTATACAAAGGATAATTAAAGGTCATGGGTAAGATTTAAAAAAGAGAGAGTGGAAAGGAGAAAGAGGAGACTGAAAGAGACTGAACCTAGTGAACAGCCCTTGTGGAGAAGTGGACGAGGAAGCGAAGCTCTGATGTGTCAGTGCTGATGGTTATAAATGGTTCAAAACAGCTCATGGATGCACTGAAACTCCCTAACATTCTATTGTCTGTCAAGAGCTTTCACTGATAAAAGGCAAATGAACTTTTGTTTCCAATTATTCTGGAATGTCAATTGTGTCAGAATAAATTAGTTTAGCTTTAAAAGTCAATTACAAACAAATGTACCATGCAAATGTCAAGAGGGTCTGATCCTGAAATGTGGGGTTTGCAAGAAGCCAAGTGAATGAGGGAGCAGCAAGAGTGGAAACATTCTCATCTGTCATCACAGTGGAAATTCCAGCACCTAGATTTGCAATCTGCTTCCTGGCTTAGGAATCAGTCATTCCTCACTCTAGCCACCCCTTCCTTGGTTCAGTGACCAAGTTTCTAAATATCACACAGTGCTATTTTTTCTATGATGTGCAATCACTAACCTTTGTGAAATCACACATCTCCTCTCAATTCTGTCTTCAGGTTGTGCTGCTCTATGCTTCCACCTATGTCCTGGTGTCCCTCAGTATAGACAGGTACCACGCCATCGTCTACCCCATGAAGTTCCAGCAAGGAGGTGAGCCGGCTCACCCATGACCTCTTTCATGAGGATCATCCTTGGGTGAGGGTGGGATTTCTTTCAATAATATATTCTTTTTATGTTATTTATTTGTGTTATTGTTATTGAGAAAACGCAAAGCAGAACATACATCAATTCAACAATTTCCATGTGTACAATTCAATGACATTGATTACATTCTTTGAGTTGTTCAACCATTACCACCTTCCTTTTCTGAGTTATTCCCCTCCTATTAACATCAACTCACTGCCCTCTAAGTTTCCTATGTAATCCATTGAGTTGCTTTTGTCATTTTGATCCCATACAGATAGATCTTAAATGAACACTGTGCTCTAGGCAGATAGTCTTTACTCGTTAAGCCAAATTATTATTTGATTTTAAGTTGTTGTTGTTGTTGTTGTTATGTGCCGTCAAGTTGGACCCGACTCATAGTGACCCCTCCTTGGGTTGCCAAGGTGGTATCACTATGGAAGTAGATTGCTCAACCTTCCTTCTGAGGAGTGACTAGGGGGTTTGAACCCCCAGCTTTCTGGTTAGCAGTCAAGTGTCTTAGGCACTATACTATCAGAGGTCCCTCGATTTTAAGAAGATGTAGAAAAAGTCTGTTCCCGTCAAGTTGTTTCCAACTCATAGTGACCCTAGAAGACAGAGTAGAACTGCCCTATAGGGTTTTCAAGGCTGTAATCTTTATGGAAGCAGACAACCACATCTTTCTCCTGCAGTGTGGCTGGTGTGTTTGAACGCCTAACCTTTCCATTTGTAGCCAAACGCTTAACCACTGCACTATCAGGGCTCCTTAAGAAGACTACAAGGGATATTTTTGGTTTAAAGTTTACTAATGTATTATTTTAAATAGTTCTCTGACTCCCCTTTATTCTCCTCTTTCTCCCTTCCACATATTTTTCCTTTGTCCCTTTTGCTACTTCATGGGTCTGACTGTCAAAAAGAAGTACAAAAGAAAGTTTGGGTGCCTGGAAAAATATTCAAGGTTCCCATGAATAGTCCAAAGCTGCTAAAGAAAGTGGTTTGCTTGGCTTATTTTTTGATCAATCACCTTGCCACTAATACTTCCCCCTTTTTCCTGTACAACAGTATTCACACACATAGCTTCTAAAAAAAAGAAAAAAAAAATGAACATCCCACATCAATTTTCCAGAAACAAAGTCCTGTGCTTTCCTTACTCTAGAAACTCAAACTCACCACCATCAAGTCAATTCTGACTTATAGCAACCCCCTTTGGGTTTCTGAGGCAGTAAATCTTTATGGAAGTAGATTGCCCAGTATTCCTTCCACAGAGTGGCTGATGGGTTTGAACCATCAGCCTTCTGATTAGCAGTCAAATCCCTTAGGCACTAGGCCACCAGAGCTCTTTACTCTAGGACCCCAGAAATGATAGAAAATAATGTTGAATTGGTAAGCATAGTGGGAAACATAAAGGAAAATCCTCCTTGATCTAGAACTAGTAAAGAGTCTGTGAACAAAGGAAGCATATAGGTCAGAGGGAAGACTTAAACCACACAGGGAAGACCCACAATACCCACAGAAGATACTATAGGATTGCAGTTATTGCAAGTGCTTCCTGAGTAGCTGGGGTAAATAACAAAGGGTCCAAGGCAACTGAGAGGGTGATTCCTCCAGCACAGTGAGGAGAACAGTTAATCATTAGCATGTCTCTCTTCCCACTGACTTCCCAGACCCCAGACAAGAAGTAGGGATGGAGGTATCAGCTTCCAAGTGGTAGGATCTTAGGTTTGAACAGGAGGAATGGTGAGTACCTGATCACAGGACTAGCTCCCTGGTTATTCTCCCCACTTTCCTCTATGCTCCTGACAACTCTTAAGAATCCAGAGTTTAGGAGTTCCGGCAAGATGGCGAACTAGGTACAAGGACTACACAGATGCTCTTCAACAAAGAAAAGGGAAACCAATTAACACAGACACAGAAGATAATCTTGGACCCCTGAGCCTTGAAGGGAAGGATACAAAAGTGGACTAAA